TCACCCCTAGTGGCGATGGTGACGTGCTGATGGAACATTGGGAGTGTGTCCTGCAGATGTACATGATTAAAGTCTCCCGCTACTATATACAAGGCTCCGGGTGTTTGCTTTGTAGTGAACTGAAGCTATCACGTGGCTCCTTTAGAGCAGCATTAGTGTTAGCTTGTGGGGGGGCATAGACAGCAACTATAAACACGGCCGTGAATTCACATAGCAGAAAGTGCGGGCGGCATTTGACAGAAAGATATTCAACTGCTTCAGAGCAGTGCCAGCCAACTATGGAACAATTTGTGCACCAACCTTCATTCAGATGCAGATGCCCCTTCCTCTTGTTTTCCCTGAGTGCTGGTTGCAGTCTGATCGGAAGAGAAGCCGCCCATCGAGCTGGAAGACAGAGTCCGGCAAGCTGCTATTGAGCTAGGTTTCTGTCAAGACAATAACGCAACAGTTCTGCATCTCACGTTGGCATAGTCACAGTCGTAATAAGTCCATTTTGTTATCCAGGGCATGTACATTGGACAGAAAGAGCGATGGAATCCCCGGTATGCTAGCGCTAGGCCTTAGCTTTGCTAGCAAACCGGCCCTTTTGCCCCTTTTCTGCTTCCTGGTACACCGCTTCCTCTTGCCTCTGAAGCACCGAAGCCTGCTCCTCCATGCTGCTGTCCTCAAAAGTTGCAATCTATTGAGTGTAGCTTTGAGCTCTGATGGAAGTGAAACCAAAAAGTTGTTATTTAGCTCTAAAAGCTCAGCTGAGCTGTACCTTAATGTTGTCCTGCCAGAACAGGCAGTAGTACTGTCGCTAAAACCAAGAGCTAGAGAAGCCACTGCACTGCAGCGCGCCGCCATCTATTCATGGAAATAAAAGCGAGTGAAAACAAAGGAGACATAGTAGGAAATATGAGATTAGAATTTAGAAATGTACATTAATTAATGTATATTTCAAGAGTCTCTGTAAGTCTTCTTTTGCTGCTGCTGTTTTGTTTCAGCAAATAAATGAAGCAAATAAGGTCATTATGAGGGGAATCGATTGTGAATCTGGCCCACCCAACAATTTAATCTAATGCATCTAGAAGGTAGAAGATCAAGGGACATTTAGGACAGATCTTAACCTGTATAGACATTTTCCTATGACCAAACTATCACTGTAATCTGGGACTGTCATGACGTCCCCACAGTGCACATTTATGCTTCTGTTTGACTACACTTTGTGTTAAGTATCCGATAACCGAGAGACACTTGGTCGCATAAAGGATGATAACATGGCGTATGAAATGTCCCCACTGAGCTTCTTCTGTACAAAATGAGTGTGAAAGCAAAACAGATTGACATATTAATAGGAAATTTGTGAGCAGAATTCTGATGTGTTAGCATGTATTTAAGTTTATGTTGTGTCCTTATAAACATGTATTAGTCTACTTGAATTTTATGCAGTGTTTACATCAAATTGACAATTTTTTTCCAGCAACATTGGTCATTGTTTTTTCTAACAAATCAATGCAGATTACAACTTGTGCAATGGATGTTGGAAGTGTAAAAGGCTTGCTGTCTTGTCAGAGACAAGGATGGATGAAGCTATCTGTCCAAGGGACACTCATCAACAGGTACATTCACCTTCATTAGCTAATGTCAAGAGTCTCTGTAAGTTGTCTTTTGATGCTGCTGCTGTTTTGTGTAAGCACCTACGTATATAAAGCAAATAAGGTCATTATGAGGAAAAAATATTGTGTGAATTAAGTCTACCAAACAGTTTAATTTAATGCATCTAAGAGGCAGAAGATTAAGGGACATTTACGACAGATATGAACCTGTATAGACATTTTTCTATGATCAAAATATCACTGAAATTTGGGACATTCATGATGTCCCCACATTGCACCTTTATGTAACTGTTTGACCACAAATTTGTGTTAAGTATCCAGTAACCTAGAGACACTTGGTCCCCATACAGGATAATGGCATTGATTTAGCATTGCAGATGATGGCACATTATCTATTTGTACATTATGCAGTATTTACATCAAATTAACCAATAGCTTGTCATACTTTCAGGATTTAAAGGAATTTTTTTCTACCCCAGAATCAGACGCTGTCAATAACCAAGAATGGCAGAACTTGAAATAATATAGAACCACATTACACCTTTTAAAGGAAAATGCAGAATAAACAGTGTGGAGAATACAATAAAAAAGGCTGATGCTTTTCATTTTCAGTGTTGTTGAATGTTAAATTAATTTCCTACATTGAAGATAAAATTGGAAGAAAATCAATATACTTAAAGAGGCAGCAGATAGCATCTTTTCCTAAATATATCATTATAAAAATAATGTGGGTTGCACAGGGTAGTGGCCACAGTAAAATCAGACTATCAGCGTTTACATAGGTTACTTTGTGGCTGTGCAATAAGCTTCTGCCACCGGTGCCGAAATTTCGCAGAAAAAAATTTGCTTTACAGCAGGAAATGCGCCATGTATTGCAAAATTGGTCGGTCAGCCAATCAGTGACTGGAGTGGGTCCTTATGAGGAGTTGGGCATGAGATAGTTGAGTCACGAGCACAATGGCAGATGGACAAAGTTTGGAGACAAGGGAAAAAAGAAAATGAGCTCCTCTGTCTAATGCCAGGGCCACACTGCCAATGAAGTGCTGCGAAGCGCAGCGCACCGAAATTCTCGCGCGAGCCCGTTCACATCAGACGTGCATTTCTCCACGCCGGTCGACAAGCGCTTCTGCTCCCAGCTGTTGTCTCCGTCACATTTGGGGCTGTTTTTCCATCATGGGTATTTCTCTCTGTTTGCGTGTGTGCGCCCCCACTCTGTCTATCTCTCTATCTCTCGTGTGTGTGTGTGTGTGTGTGTGTTCATCTCTCACGCGCTCTGTTTAGATACCACTGACTAATACTGTATGTATAGCCTATATTCCTGCCTTGCTTGACACATTCGCTTGCGAAGAAAATAGACCAGACGCCGAAACAATCGCTGCAGCGAAGCTGCGCGGCGCGGCCGGTGTGGATGACACAATCGGTTAACATGGGCGCCGAAAGGAAACTGGCTTCGCTTCTCGCCGCTTCGAGGCTATTAGCAGCGCTTCCGCGTCCGGTGTGGCCCTGGTGTAAGGAGGCAAAGAAGAGCAAAAAGGAGAGTGATAAAAGAAGAGGAAAAACAAGAGTAAACCTCAGTCAGAGGTGGAGGGAGCTCTGTGATCAAAGAGGCTTCAAAACCAAGTCCAGCTAGCTTTCTTTCTAATGGATCAGTAAGTAACACGGCTAAATGTTAGCTAGACGAGAGGGGACTGTACTGTACTGGCTGCTAGTTAATTCCTAGCTGGCCAGCATCGCAAATCGCTGCAACCAGGGACAGGGTAGCAAGTGTTGGTCGGCTGACATCCTCATTGCCATTCTATGGCAGCCCTCAGACAGTGATACCCCCCTCCCTTCCTTCTGTTCTCTTCTCACGGAGGCTGCTATTGACGGACATCGCCCAGCTAAGTTACGCCTGGCTAAGTGAACACTGAACTTTGTTTAACCACTCAATTTGAGCTCCAACCGGCCGCATCGTTTCTATACGGTACCGTTTATTCTAGAATTGGGACTGTTTACATGTGCATTCCACTGTGTCTACTGTTGTTTGTACTGATACTGTACATATTGGTATAATTTACTGTGAGTTGTTTGTACTGGTACTGTGCATTCTGGTATAATTATTTGCATTACTATTTGTTTTTTCTTTAGATAAATCTGATAATTGTTGCTTGGTCTCTTTACTCATTTATTTAGTAGAGTGTCCACACACCTTTTCATTCTACATATACAGAGCCGGTGGCTTTACAGCCTACATTTTATTTAATTTAGAGTCTAATAGAGTCATATTAGTGATTATCTCTGATCCCCATGGTCAATTTGGTCGTTGCGACAGTGCGACGCAACACCACTGACGCTAGGTGGCACTAAGCTAAAAAAACCCGAATCCTATCTGTTGCCTCTTTAAAACTAACTTGAGATAAACCCAGTCCTAACTTACATAATATCCGATCCAGCATTTTAGGCAGTACTGTAGCACTCAAATTACTTCAGACAATTTGTTCAGACAATACCACAATAAGAAAAATCAGAACAATGCATCTTGTTTAAATGTTTATGTATTTACCCTGTTTACACCTTAAAAAATAGCTATAGAGGTTTTGGAATAGGTTACATATAAGTAATGTGATTGTGGCATGGATAGTATTTATGTTGCTTACTTTAAAATGTAAAATTGTGAAGTTTGTAACAATATCAACCCTTTAGGGAATCATGTCTAGTACCCCAAATCACTGGCACAGTGTTTCCTAATCACTGAAAATATAACATCAGGCATTTTGCATGAATGTAGGTGCTGTCACAGTACAGGTTAAATTCAGCATTATCTGGTTTCACTCCATGTTTTTAATCCCTTGGCTTGCTTACTTAATGATAAACTAAAAACATAACCTGACCAGACCAAACATTACTTCTGTTATTAAAATGCCAGACACAATACTACCAGGTTCTATGTCTCATATCATTGATGACATTGTGTGTTTTGGTGAGTCAGTAAATCATGGCTTAAAAGGTGGGTGAAAAGGTCAGAGGCCAAGAGGTACTCAAAATCTATGAACATATGAGGTTTCCAAAATTTGAATTGTATCAAATGCACTACTGAATCTTTTTCTGTTTGTTACTGACTCATGTCTTGCAGATGCAGTATGTTGGATAATTTACGTCATACAAAACTATGTTATTTGCTAGAAAAATGGGTACCCAGTAGTCACATTAGAATCTGTGTGAACTATGCAAATTATGCATAAGTTCTGAAAATGATGTCCTCAGTAAACATTTTTACTGTTTTTTAAAGGATGGGAAAATCAGTACATCATCATGTCGAAGGTTTGAAGGTGTGTGTGTGTGTGTGTGTGTGTGTGTGTGTGTGTGCGCATGCGTGCGTGTGTGTGTGTGTGTGTGTGTGTGTGTGTGAATATGCATGGGTACCTGACACTTTCCATTAACACAGAGGTCAGCCTCGTATGGTCCACAGGGCGTCCCATCCATCACTCTGTCTGCCATCAGGACTGGGACATCTCGACCTACTGGGCTGCAGAACAACACACAAGGCTTCTCTGCTCATACACACACACACACACACACACACACACATATTGTACTTTCATCTTATTATTACGTTTTGTTCATGGATAAAGCAATACCTCTTTTCTTTGTTCTTCATACATTTCATAATTTTTTGAAAAACAAAGTTGTTTTCATTATGTGAACAGTTTGTTCACATTTAAGGCATACATCCTATGCATTAGCTGACTTTTTCCAGTGTGTAACCAAACAACTTTTGCCAGGGTATCTCCTGGCTGGGATCCCATAAAATAAAAACAAAAATTAATATGGAACACAAAAGCTGTTCTCTCTCACCATCATTAATAATGGCAGTCAGCATGCTACCCTTCTTCTTGCTGGAATGTCGGTCATATGACAGACACTGCAGGTCTCTGAAGCTGGGTGCCCCTTTGGGACAGGGTGGATTTTCACAGGCCTTGTGTTCCACACTGGCCTTCTGACAGTTTCGCCCCCCAGGACCAGGCCTACACACAAAAAAAAAAAAAAAAAAAAAAAATCAAAAGAGAGAAAGGCTATCGTGTGTATAAGCACTGGTATCCAACAAGGTCAACAAAATAATGTTTTTGAGCAGGTATGAGTGTGACAGTGCAAACAGGTCAGGGCTACTTTCATTTAATTATTTTGTACACACTGCACTGATTTGATACATAGATTCTACTACCAATGGACACTTAAGCCCAATTAATTAAAATGCTAAAATGCGATTTCCTACATGCTTCCTTTGACACTGATTTAAATGTCACATTAGTGCAGTTCATTAGTTTTAGTTGGAGGGCTTTTTTAATGAGGTGCCTCTCTGCAGCATGGCCATCAGCTGGCACTTCTGTAAAAAGGAGTAACGTCAGAACATCAGATAAGATAAGATAAGATAAGATACACCTTTACTGATCCCACAATTGATAAATTCCAGTGCACAACAGTCAAGGAGAAAGAGTCAAAATAAAATTTCAAAATTTAAACTTAAAAAACTTAAAACTTAAAAACTAGGCATGCAAAATAAAGTACAAAAATACAATAAATGGCGATAACTAATAATAATAATAACAATAATAATAATAATGAGAAGTGGGTAATAATGAGCAGTGGATTAAAGAGAGCACATCTAGTGCAAGTAATTGTATGTGCAAAAAACAGCAAACAGCTGTGGTGTTTATAAAGTGCCCATAGTGTCCATAAAGTGTCCATGGTGCAGTTTATTGTGAGCAGTGCTGGTTATGTAGTCTGACAGCAGCAGGCAGGAAGGACCTGCGATAGCGTTCCTTCACACACTTTGGGTGAATCAGTCTATCGCTGAAGGAGCTCTCCAGAGCTTTTATCTCCTCCTGTAGGGGGTGGGAGTCATTAGTCCTCAGAGATGACAGCTTGACTGTCATCCTCCTTTCTACCACCACCTGCACAGAGTCTAGAAAGTATCCCAGGACAGAGCTGGCCTTCTTGATCAGCTTGTCCAGTCTCTTCCTATCTGCAGCCGAGACGTTGCTGCCCCAGCAGACCACTCTGTAAAAGATGGCTGATGCCACAGTGTCAAAGAAGGTCTTCAGGAGTGCCCCCTGCACTCCAAAAGACCTGAGCCGCCTCAGCAGGTAGAGTCTGCTTTGGCCTTTCCGGTATAGTGCTGTTATGTGATTAGTCCAGTCCACTTTATTGTTAAGATGAACACCCAGGTACTTATAAGATATCACCATCTCAATGTCCTTTCCCTGAATGTTCACCGGTGTTTGGGGGAGGAGTCTGCACCTGCGGAAATCCACCATCAGCTCTTTGGTTTCCCCCCACGTTGATGTGAAGGTGGCTCCTCAGGTCAAAGTCCTGGTTCAGTTCTCTGTACTCCCTGTCATTCCCATCTGTGATGAGGCCGACGATGGCAGAGTCGTCGGAGAACTTCTGCAGATGACAGGTGGGGGTGTCGTATGAAAAGTCTGCAGTGTAGAGGGTGAAGAGGAACGGTGCCAGTACCATCCCCTGTTGGGCCCCCGTACTGCAGACAACAAAGTCCGTTACACAATCCTGGGTCCTGACATGCTGCGGCCGGTTTGTGAGGTAGTCCAGGATCCAGGATGTGAGATGATTAGCCACACCTATGTGCTCCAGTTTGTCCCTCAGAAGTGCAGGCTGTATGGTGTTGAAAGGGCTGGAGAAGTCAAAGAACATGATTCTCACAGAGCTTCCAGGCTTCTCCAGGTCAGAAAGAGCTCTATGCAGGAGGAAGATGAAGGCGTCGTCCACCACAATGCCAGACTGGTAGGCAAACTGCAGCGGGTCCATTGAAGGGCCTACTGCGGGGCGGAGACGAGACAGGACCAGCCGTCCAGAGTCTTCATGAGGTGTGATGTTAATGCCACCGGTCTGAAGCTGCTGAAGTCCTTGGGGTGCGGAGTCTTTGGCACAGGTACCACGCAGGATGTCTTCCAAAGCTATGGTACTCTCCCCAGCCTCAGGCTCAGGCTGAAGATGGTTTCAACTATGCTGCACAGTTGGTCTGCGCAGGACTTCAGGAGCCTGGAGCTGATGCCGTCTGGACCCGCAGCCTTCCTTGTCTTTATCCTCCTCAGCTGATCTCTCACCTGATAAGTAGTGAAGGACAAGCTGGAGCAGGGGGGCTGTGTGCTGGGGGGTGGAGGGTGGGGGCTGGTGAGATGTCCGGGGGAGCGGGGGTGGGGGAGGTGTTGAAGCAGTGTGCCAGGAGTGTAGGTGGGGAGGTTGGGGGATGAGGGGGGTTGCAGCCATGATGTCTGGGCCAGGGGAGGGGCAGACTGATCAAATCTATTGAGTCAGATCATTCACCCACTTCTGGTTGCCTCTGGCCTGGGAGTCTGGTTGTTTGTGTCCTGAGATGGTTTTCAGACCTCTCCAGACTCCGCTGACATCGCTCTGCTGCAGCTGTTCCTCCATCAACTTTTTATATTCTTCCTTTCCCTGCCTGTGTTTCTCCGTAGCTCCTCTGCACGGCCTTCAGCTCCTCCTTGGTTCTAGAGTTAAAAATTCTCTGCTTCTCCTTCAGGAGAGCTTTTATATCTGGAGTAATCCAGGGTTTGGTGTTGGAGAAGCAGTTTACATTCCTGGTGGGTACGGTGCTTTCCACACAGAAGTTCATGTAGTCAGCACCAGCAGCTCTTCCATCTTGTTGGGGAGCGATCTTACATTCCCCATGACGACGGACGGAAGGACTGGTTTGTACTGTCTCCTCCGGTGTCGGCGCTGCACTCCAGCGCGACATCCTCATCTCCATTCTCCGCAGCTCGCAGCAAATATCATGCCTCTCCTCGGGCTGCACTGCGGTGTGACACAGCGCTAGCAGCTGGTCCCGGGTGTAAACAATGGAGCCACGGCTGGGTGCCGGGTCCCCACACACGGTCATGTCCATGGAAAAATAGGACAAAGACCGCTATAAAGAGAGCGGTCTTCGTCTCCATACCAAAACAAAACATAAGTGCTAGCTAGCTAACTGAAAAAAACTCCAAATAAGAAAGTTAAATGAAAAAGAAATTGAAAAAAGCTCAGCCGTGAGCAGGAATTGCTGTAACAGGCGTCCGCACTGGGGGCGCCATCTTGAGAGAAATACACAGAGATCCAATTTATCACTGTGAATATGCCCAGCTTAATTCAAAAGTAATCACACATGATTGTAAAAAGCAGTGTGTGAAAGTGTATGGGTACACTCAGAGTGAAATGTGTCTGTATATCACACTATTAAAAGCAAAAGTATATTTTAAATTGCATGAGTCGACAGTGACTCAGACGGCAGGCAATCTGCCTCCAACGTTCCAAGCTTTTACAATATAACATCCATCATACACCTACTGCAACAATATGAAAAACTGCTATATTTTGTTTTTGCTTTACAGTAATAAAGGCTACTGTGCAGACAATGACTGTGGATTCTCTGTCTAATCTGAGATTCATCAGACACACAGTCTCTTCAAAATGCACTTTAAATTCAGATTTAGCAGCTTGTGCTCGTACTTTTTTCCTCTGTGTGGAACAGCATGACAGCCCACAACGTTTGAGAGTTATTTCCCACAAGATGTTCTTCAGATATTGCTTCCACAAGAATGGCATGGACAGACGGACATACAATCTGAAAATATTATGCCTCTCCACTGGCGTCGAGGCTTAAAAAATTATACTAAATTGATCTCATATGACACACACACATACCTCTTCATATGGGATTTAAGTGCTTTTCTTTTTCCTGTATAAATATTTTTGTGAAAAAAGTTTCTCAATAACTTTAAGTCATATTTAATATTCATTCAATAATTTAATTAATCATTTAAATAATTTGAATAAATATTCATATACTTTTACTTTTTACAGAATTAATCTTGAAAGTGTCAACTAACATGACCAAATTAAACACATGTACAGAATGAGCCATGCTGCGTCTCTGCTGAAAATACTAAGGTTATGGTAATTGTAAGTGCTATATCGTAGGCAACTGGACTTGCTTGCATTTCTTTCTTTTTTTTTAAAGATATTTTTTGGGCCATTATGCTTTTAATGGACAGGATAGGTACGTGTGAGGGGGGAGAGAGAGAGGGGGGGATGACATGCAGCAAAGAGCTGGATTTGAACCCGGGCCGCTGTGGCAACAGCCTTGTACATGGGGTGCCTGCTCTACCACTAAACCACCGACGCCCCATTGCTTGTGTTTCTTGAAGACATTTCGCCTCTCATCCAAGAAGCTTCTTCAGTTCTCAATGACTGGTACGAAGTTGCAGGCTATAAACCCTGGGAAACCTAGCAGGGTCGTAGGGGTCATGTGAGCTTTCAGTTTCAGAGTCGTTAAGGTCACAAACTCACAGACTCTGAAACTGAGAGCTCACGTAAGATCTAATAAAACAAGTACAGAGACAAGTGCTTTGTCTGAAGCAATCAGAAGATCATTTGTAATTTTAACTAGTGCTGTCTCAGTGCTATGATGCACTCTAAATCCTGACTGAAATTCCTGAAATAAATTATTATCATGGAGAAAATCACACAGCTGGTCTGCGACTACTTTCTCAAGGATCTTTGAAAGAAAGGGAAGATTAGATATTGGTCTACAGTTGGCAAACAACTCTGGATCCAGTGTGGGCTAGAAGAGGTTTAATTACAGCTACCTTAAAGGACTAGTGGTACATAGCCTGTTAATAAAGATAAATTGATCATGTCTCATATGTGAGTCGGCACTACCTATATATATATATATATACATATATATATATATTATAATTAGGGCCCGAGCGACGACGAAGTTGTCTG